GTCATGACTTATGAGATCCTGGGCAAATCACTTAATGTCTTGGGGCCACCATTTTCTCATCTATAAAATGAAAGAATCCCTTCCAACTCTACATCTGTAGGGGATCTAAAGGGATTTGGGGACAAAGGCTGGAGAATAGCCTCATCCTTCCTCACAGTGAGCCGTGTGAGGTTTGGCTGTGAGGGTGTGAATGGCTGAGTGGAGAACTGGGCTCCTTCCATCCCCTTTGTCTGTCAGATGTCTAGCCTTGGTCTTTCATGTGGGCAAATCTGTAGTGCATTAGTGAGCAGCGGGTGGCTTATTCTCCTCGTTCTCCTTGCCCCCACTCCGTTATGTTGGGGAGCTTCCTGGAGAGGTCACAGGAGCTAGAGAGAAAGGCATATCCTCACCTTCCCCCCTCCTAACCCCCAACCTCTAACACTAGCGGAGCCGCTGGATCGCTCCGCTGGAAATGCTGGGACCCAGCCACATTGCCTGGGCCAGCTATGGAGCAAAGTAGGGAGGAGGATGTGGCTTTAGGCTCAAATCTCTCTCTCGGCAGTTCTCCAGGCGGACCCTAACCCTGCCTCTGCCTCCCCCATCCTGACCACAGGAATGTCTTCCCTGCTTTGTTGTTCTCTGCATTTGGGGTCTGGTCCTGGCAGGAGGAAGGGGTTGGGGTAGAGGAGGGGAGGGGAGGAACCCCATCTCCAGGAGCCACTAGGCTTGGCTGAGAGCAGACGCTCTCTCAATGCAGACCACTTGGCTCACTGGGAGCCTCTCTGGTTTCCTGCTTGCTGGGCTTTCCAAAGTATTTTTTCTTTCCTAAGAATTCTTCCCATATGGAGTTGCTCCAAGAATGCAAGGAGAAGGATTAATGTGTATATAGCAGCACTGTATGATCATATGTATGGTACATGTATAACTAATTATGCCCATGCAGTTGTGTGTATGTTTGCAACTGAGTGTATAGCTACTGTACCTCTGTATGTCTCTATGTGTGGGGTTTTGTCTATATAATGTGGATGTGATTTTGTCAGGTATTGTGTATATGTACATGTATGTATGTGTGGCAACCTTGATATGTAGGCCTTGGGGTATATACGTTTGTGTGTGTTTATGTGCGTGTGTGGGTGTGTGGGTGTGTGTGTGTGTGTGTGTGTGGTGTGTGTGTGTGGTTAGAGGGAGGTAGGGGAAGACAATGGCAGGATGTTGGCCAGAAACCCAGACACCCTCTGTCTGGCATAGAACCCTCCTTTTTCCCAACCCCTGAATGACTGCAATTCCCATCAGGGGGAGATCTAACCGCTGGTGGGGGTGGGAAAGTTTAGCTGCTGCTTGACTTCGCAAGGCTTGATGTAGATTCCATGAACACAGGAGGGCAATGGATCATAGATTTGGAGCTGGAAGGGACCTTAGAGATGCTGTAGTCCAACTTTCTCATTTTATGCAGGAGTAAACTGAGATCCAAAGAGGGGAAAGTGACTTAGCTAGGGTCACACAGGGAGTAAGTCACCGAGCCAAGATTCAAACCCAGGCCCTCTGATCACGAACCTAGAGCAGTGGTGTCAAATGGATGGAAAGGGGTGCCACTAAAAAGTACCTAAAGACATGTACTTAAAGTACCTGAAGATAGTACCTAAGGGTAGATCAGTATGCAGGCCATATATTGACTTAGAAAACCACATATGAACATTATCTATGTTCTATTGTATTTTATTTGTTTCATTAAATTACATTATGATGTAAATTTAATTACATTACAATTATATTTTAATCTGGGCTAGCAGCGTGTTTGATATTTCTGTCCTAGAGCTCTTTTCCTTGCACCACAGCTTCGTGTGCAGTGTGAGCAAAGTGAATAAAGTGGTCAGGGGAATTTTCCAGGAAAAATTTGAGTATGGGACTGTGCCGTCTGCTAGTCTTCAATATGTACTTCTGGACCTCAATTCAGCCTGTGCTACACACACACACACACACACACACACACACACACACACACACCCTCAAACCAGAAGTGTGGGAGCCAGAACTCTTGGGTTCCATTGGCATTTGACTTGATCTCCCCTACCCTCCGCACCATAGAGACCCAGGGAGTCTCTATCTCCTTGTCTATCCGCCTTCTGCCTCAGTTTCCCCTCCAGACAGGAAGGTAAAATTGGCACGCATCCATTTTGGCCAAGATGGCAGAGATTCCTATATCTTGGATCAGGGTGTGCTGGGTGTGCAGGCTTAAAGCATGTGGCTTGTGTAGGAAGGACAAATTTGGGGTGACTATGAGAGTAGGAAGCAGCTGAGGCAGGACCTAGAGAGGTAGAATGCAGGAGCCCAGAGGGGCACTTCAAGTGAGTACAAAGTCAGAGCTTGCATGGACAAGACAACTTTTCCTAGAGCACTTTGGATCTCTCCTTTGCCCCCATCACACTGGGGGCAAATCTGAGTACGTATGTTATCTCCCTTACCTCCAGGAGAATGTAAGTTCCTTGAGAACGAGCCAGGACTGTGTTCTTATTTTTCTATTCCCAGTGCCTCGCAGATAGTAGGTGGCTTAATACATAGCATAATAAATACTGATGTATTTCTTTTCTTTTCTTTTTTCTTTTCTTTTTTTTTGGTTTTTGGTCAGGCAATGGGGGTTAAGTGACTTGCCCAGGGTCTCACAGCTAGTAAGTGTTATGTGTCTGAGGTCACATTTGAACTTGGGTCCTCCTGAATCCAGGGCCAGTGCTCTATCCACTGCGCCACCTAGCTGCCCCCTGACGTATTTATTGAAAGAATGGAGCCTTTTTAGGCTAAGGATACTAGAATTTAGAGCTTGAAAGGGCATATAAAGCCATCTAATCCAACCATCTCATTTTACAAGTAAGAAAACTGAGGCCCCTAAAGTTAAAGTGGCTTTCTAAAGTTATATAGTTAGTAAGTAGTTAGTCAAGCATTTATTAAATGTCCTCTATGTGCCAGGGGCTATGCTGAGCCCTGGGAGTACAAAGAGCCCCTGCCCTCAAGGAGCTTACAATCTAATGGGGGAGATAGTAAACAAACATAGATATATACAAAATAAGTAGGAAATAATTAATAAAGGAAAGGCATTAGAATTAAGAGGGTTTGGGAAAGCTTCCTGTAGAAGTTGGATCTTGGTTGGGTCTTGAAGGAGGCCAGGGAAGCTCGTAGGCAGAGATGAGGAGAGCGAGGATTCCAGGCATGGGGGATGGTCAAAGAGAAACCCCAGAGCCAAGAGATTGAGTGTCTTGTTTTTGGAACAGCGAGGAAGCCAGTGTCACTGGATCAAAGGGTAGATGGAGGTACAATGTGTAAGAAGAAAGGTGCTAAGGTAGCAGCGGGGAGCCAGGTTATGAAGGACTTTAAATGCTAAAGAGAGGATTTTGATTGTGATCCTAGAAGTGATAGAGAACCACTGGAATGTATTGAGTGGGGGTGGGGTAAGGAGGGGTAGCATGGTTGAACCTGAGCTTTAAGAAAGTCACTCTGGTGGCTGATTGGAGGATGGATTGGAGTGGGGAGAGACTTGAGGCAGGCAGACACACCAGCAGGCTATTGCAATAGTCCGGGTATGAGGTAATGAGGACTGCACCAGAGTTGGGGCAGTGTCAGAGGAGAAGAGGGGGCTCATTTGAGAGATGTTGCAAAGGTAAAATTGACAGACCTCAGCAACAGATTAGATATGGGAGGTGAGAAATAGCGAGGAGTCAAGGATGACATCTAGGTCGCAAGCCCAGGGAACCTGAGGATGGCATTGTCTCCTACAGTAATAGGGAAGAATAAGTAGCATTGTCACTGTTCAAATACAGGTCCTCTGACTCCAAATCCAATATTCTTTGCCCTGTCCCACTGAACAATGAAGGATTCAAGCGTATAAAAGCCAAGAAGGAGGATGGAGATGAGATGAGAAGCAAGGGCCTAGACCTTGTCACCAAGCCCTGGATGCGAAGAGTAGGGCGGCCCCTTGAAGCTTGGAGGAAAACGTTTCAGGTCAAATCCTGCTTCACACAGTATGGAGTAAATTTAGGGAAGAACATTCCCTGAGAGTGAGCCAAAGCTAGAGACACAAGAAAGTTCTAGAAGTGCTTGGGTAACCTCCAGGAGGGCAGAGCTATGGCGGGTTATTTAGAAAAGCTTGAAGCGTCATGGTCCCTGTGGCTACCTGACCTGTGGAAGTGGCACCAAGGAGAGTAATCCTGGCCTCCTAGAACAGAATTTAGGCCCCAGTGCCCAACAGAGGCAGAGCCTGGGGCTGGAGGGACTGCATACCAGCTGGTGTTGTGGGAGGAGCAGAAGTCCAAGGGGGAGGGTCGGGTTGAAGGTTCCCCAGGATGCCCTGGGGCAGGGCTGAGATTTCTGGACCGGGTTTTGCTGGGTGAGCAGGGAAGGGAGGAGCTATAGAGAGAAGTCAAATAGATTCCCATCTCCTTCTGAGCCGAGGGGGAGAGAGGGAGAGAAGTGAGAGGGGGGAGGAAGGGAGAGGGATGAGCACCAGAAAGGCAAAAATCCCCAGCCTGAGTCCTTTCTCTGAAGGGTCTAATTCTTGGTTGTGGAGCTGGAAGGCATCTCAGAGGCCATTACCTCCAGCCCCTTCCACAGAGGAGGAAATTGAGGCCCACGGACATTAAGTCACTTACCTGCGGTCACACGGGTAGAAGGCATCCGAGGTGGAGTTTGAAGCCAAGTCTACTGAATCCAGTCTGCGCCCTTTCCATGGTACCATGCAGCCACTGAGCTGAATGACAGCCCCGCTATGCAGGCCAGTGTGAGGTAGTAGAAAATTATGTCATGGGAACCAGAAGACCTAGGTTCTAATGCTGGTCTGACTCGTCTTAAGTTCTCTGAACCTCAGTGTGTACGTTTTTTTTAATCTGTTAAATGGGGATAATAATCCCTGCCCTACCTATCTCACAGATAGCATTATTTGGAGTGCTTTATAAAGACTATTTCCTTTTTTTTTTTTCCACCGTGATGTAAATGCAGGGTACCTATATTATCATTGTTTCTGTTTTTTGTCCCAGCATCTGAGGACGCCTCTGTGAAGGAGTCCACTGGCCTTTCCCAGCTGGACGGTGAGGGCATGACCAGCTGCCGCCATCAGTCACCACACAGGGACAGGACCCCAGCCAGACATGCGGCCTGCAGGACCCCGTAAGGGTCATGATGGTCAGCCAGAGGTCCACACCACCCTGCTTCCTGAGTCAAGCCCTGCTCTTCCCAGAACCAGCTGAGTCAATGCTCTGATTCAAGCCTGCCCTGGTGCCACTGGCCAAGTCCAGAGTGTGAGTCCTGTTCTTTGGCACGTGCGCCATGAGTCACAGTGCCAGCTCTCGGCTGGCCGACTCTCCACGGCTCTCCAAGAGCAGCCTCTTGAACATCTTGGGCAGCCCTTCGCCTGAGCGGATGGGCCTAGCCGACTCTTTGCCACCTACCCCACAGAGCGGGACTCCATCTCCCGGGCCCCCGCCGCTGCCCCTGTTGCCTGGTGGGTCCCCGGGGCTGGATGGTGACTGGGAAAGCCGGGAAGAGCTGCGCCTTCGAGAACTGGAGGAGGCCCGGGCCCGGGCGGCCCAGATGGAGAAGACCATGCGCTGGTGGTCAGACTGCACGGCCAACTGGAGGGAGAAGTGGAGTAAGGTGAGAGCTGAACGCAACAAGGCACGGGAAGAGGTGCGCCAGCTTCGGCAGAAGCTGGAGGCATTGACTAAAGAGCTGACGGGGGCCCGGCGGGAGCGGCAAGAAGCCCTGAACCAGAGCGAACAGCTGGGCAAAGAGGTGGCTCGACTTAAGGGGGCCCGGCTGCAGGAGGAGGAAGAGGAGGAAAACCACCAGGAGGGGGAGGAGGCTCGTGAAGAGGAGAAAGGCAGGGGCGAGGAGAAGGAGCTGGACAACAGGATGGCCTCAGAGAAGGAGAGCCAGGGGGGTGGCCTCGAGCAGGAGCCTGTGCGGGATGTGGGCTTTGAAAAGCCAGCCAAAAATAAGGTAAGCAAGCTGGGTGTGTGGGGGAAAAAGAGCATTCCCCCATTCCATGCACAGAAGGGTTACCTTCCTTCCTGCAAACCAGCTGGGCTCACCAGCTATGGTGAGGCCACAGGGCACATTATCCAAGGACTTAGGGGCTCGAGGCTCATACCTTAATGCAGATGTGTCCCTGGAAATGGTGGGGCAGGCAGGAGCCCTTTCCCCTAATCTGGATTCAGCTCCTCTAGCCTGTACAAAAGTCAGGAGATTCCCTCTGCCTCCTTCCCCTAAGCCAGAAGCCAGATCCCCACCGCCAGCAGTAAGGCCTGGTCACTGGAGAGAACCAGGATAGATAGTGGGCCCTCTGGTGACTTGCCCACAGCTCCCCAAGAGTGGCTTGAGATTCACAATTGCTTCCTTGGGGCCAGTGATTTGTTCGTGGCAACAAGTGCTTTTTGCTAAGTGCTTAAGAGACCACAACTTGAGCGTTGGGGGAATTTGAGGAACAGGAAGGGCACCCTGTGGATCTATGACATTGTCTAGGAAAACTTGTGATCAGTTGAGTAACAAGAACCCAAGTCACCTAATTGAGCACTAGCTATGTGCCTAACAATGCTGGGTCCTACTAGAAACAGACAAATAGGGGCTAGTTGTGAAAGGAACACTGCCCGAGACCTAGGTTCTAGTCTCTGATTTATCACCAGCTGGCCATGTGACTCTGCACATGTCATTTCACCTTGATTATCCTTTCTTTTCAGTTTTTGATATTGTCATTTTCAGTCGTGTCCAATTCTTCGTGGCCCTTTTGGGGGTTTTCTTGGCAAAGATACTGAAGTGGCTTGCCATTTCCTTTTCCAGCTCATTTTACAGATGAAAAAACTGAGGCAAACAGGATTATGTGACTTACCCAGGCTCACACAGCTACTAAGTATCTGAAACTGGATTTGAACTCATGAAGATGAGCCTTCCTGACTCCAGGCCTGGCACTCTATCTCCTTTGCCAGCTAGCTGCCCAGTTTAGTCTTCTGTAAAATACAAAGGCTGGATCTCTAAGTTCCCTTCCAGCTGTAATACCCTAAATTCCATTTCCATCACTATGTATTATGGGACCGTGGATGCATAGGCAACAGATGGGGAAACTGAGACCCAGAGATTTGAAGCCACATGTCCCAAGTCCCCTGGCATAGCAAGTGGCAGAGCCAGGACTAGAGCCTGAGTTTCTTGACTCTGATCCTCTACCCTAGGATTAGTGTTCACTCTAAACTCAAAGTGATGAGGGCTCAAGGAGCCTGCTGAGTAATGCCCTGACCTTGGGGTGCTCTTCACAGGAGCTGGAACTGATGGAGAACCTTCTGAAAAGTAAGCAAGATGGGCCTGAGAACTGGGAGGCACGAAGCATGGGGAGTGCCCGTGCTACCTTCAGCCGGCAGGAGCGAAGCCGACTGCTATGGGAGGAGGTGTCCACCATCGAGGAGGATGTCACCAAGGTGACTGCTCTGAAGCTTCGGCTGGATGAATCCCAGAAGGTGCTGCTCAAGGAACGAGAGTGAGTATGGGCAGCTAGTGGGCCCTACTCTGGCTGTACTTGAACTGCCCTTTTGGCCAGCTGATCAGCACAATGGCCAGTGGGTTGCAGCAGCCACAGAGAGAGTGAGAAACTGGGACCCAGCCTAGAAGGCAAGGTTGGACCTTTCAGTATAATGTGGAAAACAGGATGGTGGAATGGGGTATGCCAAAACGCCTAGCACTGAATAAAGGCAGGGGGGCAGAATGGGGTGGAGCAATGTATGCCAGTATTCAGATGAGCCCAGAGGGATATGCAAACCAAGTCTGGTAATGTTGATGAGGCACAGAGTAGGGAATACCAGTGGGGAGGCTGCCCAGAGGTGGTGGGTCTTCTTTTGTATTTTAAAGAAGAGAAGGGATATGAAGCTGCTGCTTCCCCAGGAGGACCTTTGACCACTCCCTTCAATAACTAATAACACTTCCAGGAGGGAATCGAGAAATCCAACCTCCAGTGGGAACACTGCATGGAAATCCCTAAGGGATAGAACAGGGAGAGCCAGGCTCCCGAAAGGCTAACCAGGCCTTCCCCACCTACCCACCCACCCCTAAACCCCCAGGGATAAGCTGTCACTGAGCAAGAACATTGAAAAACTGGAAGGGGAGCTCAGCCAGTGGAAGATCAAGTATGAGGAACTAAGCAAAAACAAGCAGGAAGTGATGAAGCAGGTGAGACCCTCTCCTTACCTCTGCTAGTCTTTCTAGCTCCTTTCTTCTGCGTGCCAGCCCTCCTTTATCCTCTTAATTTAGGGAGGTGGAGACAGAACACTCTTGGTCTCTCATGTAAGCTTCCCTGTGTCCACCAGAGGGGGCTGTCAGCCCAGGAGAAAAAAGTCTGGCACAGGAATACAGAAAATCAGTAAGAAACATTAAAAGCTGGAGAAGACTGGAAATCATGTGGTCCAGCCTCCTGATTTTATAGGTGGAGAGACCCTGGGACTAGGAAGCACCTTTCTTCTTTCCTTCACCCCACCCCCCAAGCTGGCTTGGAGCAGACGAGCTGCTTCCTCCTTACCTCCTTGGGAACACTGAAACCATCCAAGATGAGCTCCCTCAGTGCTCTCCTTTATCCCATCTTTTCGAACTTCTTAGCATCTTCACGAGCTTTCTTTGCCTTCCTCTTAGTCATCAAAGAAGAGCTGTCCCTATGGGTCACCAGGGCTACCTGTCCCTTTGATCCTTCTCTTTCGCTTCAGGTAT